TAATCCATGAGCATGGGATGTGTTTGCATTTGTTTGTGTCATCTATGGTTTATTTCAGCAGCGTTCTGTAGTTCTCCTCAGTTCTTTTTTTTTTTTTTTTTTTTTTTTTGAGACAGAGTCCTTTTTTGAGACAGTCTTGTGTGTTACCCAGGCTATAGTGCAGTGGTGGCATCATCTCGGCTCACTGCAACCTCCACCTCTCGGGTTCAAACAATTCTTGTGCCTCAGCCTCCCGAGTAGCTGGGACTACAGGTGTGTGCCACCATGCCTGGCTAATTTTTCCATTTTTTTGGTAGAGACGGAGTCTCACCATGTTGGCCAGGCTGGTCTCGAACTCCTGACCTCAAGTGATCCATTTGCCTTGGCCTCCCAAAATGCTGCAATTACAGGTGTGAGCCACCACGCCAGCCAGAAAGATTTTTCACATCCTTGGTTAAGAATAATCCTAAAAAGCAGAGCATGGTGGCTCATACCTGTGATCCCAGCACTTTGGGAGGCTGAGATGGGAGGATCACTTGAGGCCAGGAGTTCGAGACCAGCCTGGTCAACATAGTGAGACCCCCCCCCGTCTTTATTTTTTAAAAAAAGAATATTTTGTTAGGTATTTTACTTTATTTTTACAGCTATTGTAAAAGGGATTGAATTCTTGAGTTGATTCTCAGCTTGGTTGTTGTTGGTATATAGCAGTGCTACTGATTTGTGTACATTGATTTTGTAACCTGAGACTTTACCGAATTCGTTTACAAATCTAGAATTCTTTTGGGGGAGTCTGTAGGGTTTTCTAGGTGTATGATTATATCATCAGCAAACAGAGCTAGACTTCTTTTCCAATTTGGATGCTCGTTCTTTCTTTCTCTTGCCTGATTACTCTGGCTGGGAAGTTTCCCTGTTTCTTTTGGTTTTCATTTTTGAAGCCTCCGTGGCATGTAGGACTTATATTAAACACATCACTATGCTTTTCTCTTAATTTGTTTTTTGTTACAGGTGGCTCAGCCGGTGAGAAAAAGACACCTTTTCTCGGCTGGGCGCAGTGGCTCATGCCTGTAATATGAGCACTTTGGGAGGCTGAGGCAAGTGGATCAAGGCTGAGGCATAGAATTGCTAGAACCTGAGAGGTGGAGGTTGCAGTGAGTCAAGATCATGCCACTGCATTCCAGCCTAGGTGACAGAGTGACTTTTGTCTCAAAAAAAAAAAAAAAAAAAAGGAAAACTTTTATATCCTGCAGGGTTTCTATGTGATTTTTACTAGAGCAATACAAGAGTATATTGTCCAGGTGAGCACCCTGAGACTAATGGCGAGGGGTGACCTTGAGTTCCGCATTGGTCAGCATTCATATTTCTGTTTCTTTCTTCCTTTTTTTTTTTTTTTTTTTTTGAGACACAGTCTCGCTCTGTCGCCCAGGCTGGAGTGCAGTGGCACGGTCTCGGCTCACTGTAACCTCCACCTCCTGGGTTCAAGCGATTCTCCTGCCTTAGCCTCTTGAGTAGCTGGGATTACAGGCTCCCACCACCATGCTCTTCTAATTTCTGTATTTTTAGTAGAGACGGGGTTTCACCATGTTGGTCAGCCTGGTCTCGAACTCCTGACCTCGTGATCCTCCTGCCTCAGCCTCCCAAAGTGCTGGGGTTACAGGTGTGAGGCACCGCGCCCCGCTGTGTTGCTGTTTCTGACTGGGGAGGTGGAGCTACTGCCCTCTGGATAGAGGAAATACGCTCTGTGGCCACCACCAGGCACTAACCTTTTATTTCATTGATTCCTCGGAGCCAGGATGAGAGGTAGCATCATAATCCTGATTAGTGGACAAGAAAACTGAGGCTCCAGAACACTGAGAGACTTGTTCCAGGTCCACTCCTGCAAGCCCAGAGGCTACCTCTGGGGCGGGGGAAGGGGCCCAGGGTCATGCGCTTCATACAGTCCCCTCAGTCCTGGAGGTGCTGCTCAGTTCATGACGCCAGGGGGCGCCGTGCGCATCGAAGAACCCTTTGTGGTTTCCCAGCCCTCGGGGTGCAGCTGCTGCCTCCTTCGATGGATTTCTGCGAAGATGGTTTCTTGAGGACAGCACTATAAATGGGAATGACCCATGATACTCATGACTGGCCCCTTGGGGACTGGGCCCCTGCCAAGCCATGTGCTCCGAGGTCTCCTCCTACTTGCTTTCCTTTCTGCAATGTCTTGCCTGTGCCCCAGCTGCCTGTGATGTGAATTTAATTCCTGCAGAGGACGGATGCAACGGGAATCTCATAAATGCATGGGTGGCCAGGCAAATAGGTATAAATAAGTAAATAAGTTGTGCCTCTGAAGCTCTCCGTGGGGTCACTCATCCTCAGAAGAATGTTTACGGGCCTGAGCTGGAAACGGAAGAGATGCAAGTTCCATCCTCAACAAGGTGCCTGTTGGCAATTTGAGCTGGAACTAGGGTCAGGATGACATAATAGTGAAGTGACGGGTCTGTGTTTCAATCCTGACCCAACCACTGTGTGTGTGTGTGTGTGTGTGTGTGTCAAAAATGGCCACCATGCTTCATTTCTCTCATCGTTGAGGCATATTTTTCCACTTCTTTTGGACCAATACAAAGTGATGGAGGACTCGTGGCTTCCAAGCCAGGACCTCAAGAGGTCTTGCCCACTTCCACGTTCTCTCTCTCGGACCTTGGTGTGATATGAGCCTGGGTTAGAGTGCAGGGGGATGAGAGACCATGTGGAGGAGAGTGTCCCAAGCAAGGCCATCCTAGACCAGCCTGTCCCCAGCTGGCCTGCCAGCTGACAGCAGATTCATGAGCAAGCCAAGTCCAGTTGAGATCAACCTAGCTCAACCCTGGCGAGCAAAACCACACGGCTAACCTGTAGATCCTGAACTGTAATAGAGGCTTATCACTCTATAAGTCATTCCATTTAGATTAGTGTATTATGTAGCAACCATGAACCGATATGGCTAATTATAGTGAAATGGTCATGGTCCATTTGCATACTCCTGTGAGCCTCAATTTCTTTATGTGTGTGACAGGTACAATACATGATAGTGGTCTCTGTCCCAGAGAAGCAAAATGAGGAATAAGTTAGATGTTCATAAGGTTGCTTGCACAGTGTCTGACGTGGAGAATATCAGCTGGAATGGGCCTGGTGGTTCGGCCATACTTAGCAACCCCAGGCTGGGAGCGGTGGCTCACGCCTGTAATCCCAGCACTTTGGGAGGCTGAGGCGGGTGGATCACCTGAGGTCAGGAGTTTGAGACCAGCCTGGCCAACATGGTGAAACCCCATCTGAACTAAAAATACAAAAATTAGCCAGGAGCAGTGGTGCGTGCCTGTAGTCCCAGCTACCCTGGGGGGCTGAGGCAGGAGAATTGCTGGAACTCGGGAGGCGGTGGCTTCAGTGAGCCAAGATCATGCCACTGCACTCCAGCCTATGTGACAGAGCAAGACTCCATTAAAAAAAAAAAAAAAAATTAGCAACCCCAAATCTTAGTGATTTTATTTTTATTTATTTATTTATTTATTTATTTTGAGACGGAGTCTCACGCTGTTGCCAGGCTGGAGTGCAGTGGCGCGATCTCGGCTCACTGCAAGCTCCGCCTCCTGGTTCACGCCATTCTCCTGCCTCAGCCTCCTGAGTAGCTAGGACTACAGGCGCCCGCCACCGCCCGGCTAATTTTTTGTATTTTAGTAGAGACGGGTTTCACTGTGGTCTCGGTCTCCTGACCTTGTGATCCGCCGCCTCGGCCTCCCAAAGTGCTGGGATTACAGGCTGAGCCACCGCGCCCGGCCTATTTATTTATTTTTAAGGAGTCTCGCTCTGTCACCCAGGCTAGAGTCTCCTGCCTCAGCCTCCTGAGTAGCTAGGACTACAGGCGCCCGCCAACATGCTCGGCTAATTTTTTGTATTTTTAGTAGAGACAGGGTTTCACCATGTTAGCCAGGATGGTCTGGATCTCCTGACCTTGTGATCCGCCTGCCTCGGTCCCCCAAAGTGCTGGAATTACAGGCGTGAGCCACCGCGCCAGGCCTATCTTAGTGATTTGAAACAGCAAAGGTCGGCTAGGTCCGGTGGCTCACACCTGTAATCCCAGCACTTTAGGAGGCGGAGGTGGGCAAATCACGAGGTCGGGAGTTCGAGATCAGCCTGGTCAATATGGTAGCACCCCATCTCTAATAAAAATACAAAAATTAGCCGGGTGAGGTGGCTCAGGTGTATAATCCCAGCACTGTGGGAGGTAGAGGTGGGCAGATCACAAGGTCAGGAGTTTGAGACCAGCCTGGCCAACATGGTGAAACTCCATCTCTACTAAAAATACAAAAATTAGCCAGGTGTGGTGGCAGGCGCCTGTAGTCCCAGCTACTCGGGAGGCTGAGGCAGGAGAATTACTTGAACCTGGGAGGCAGAGGTTGCAGTGAGCCGAGATCACGCCACTGCACTCGAGCCTGGGTGACAGAGCAAGACTCTGTCTCGGAAAAAAATAAAATAGAATAAAAAATAAATAAAAATACAAAAATTAGCTGGGTGTGGTGGTACGTGCTTGTAATCCTAGCTACTCTGGAGGCTGAGGCAGGAGAATCGCTTGAACCCAGGAGGTAGAGGTTACAGTGAGCCGAGATTGTGCCACTGCACTCCAGCCTGGGCGAGAAAGCAATACTCTGTTTCAAAAAAAAAAAAAAAAGGCCGGGTGAGGTGGCTCACGCCTGTAATCCCAGCACTTTGGGAGGCCGAGGTGGGCAGATTACAAGGTCAGGAGATCAAGACCATCCTGGCTAACATGGTGAAACCCCAACTCTACTAAAAATACAAAAACAAAACAAAACAAAACAAAAACAGCCAGGCATGGTGGCAGGAGCCTGTAATCCCAGCTATTCAGAAGGCTGAGACAGGAGAATTGCTTGAATCCAAGAGGCAGAGGTTGCAGTGAGGTAAGATCATGCCACTGGATTCCAGCCTGGGCAACATAGTGAGACTCCATCTCAAACAACGACAATGACAACAACAACAACAACAACAACAACAACAACAACAACAACAAAGCAGCAAAGGTCTATTCCTTGCCCTTGTTACATGTCCACAGTAGGTGGACCAGGAGCTGTGAGCATTACGGTCACGTAGAGTCCTGAGCTGGTGATGTTCTTCATCTTGGCACTTTGCTGGCCACTGCACCAGAGAGAAAAGAGAAACTCAGGAGGGAGTTCAGAACTCATCAGTCCCACCCACCCAAAGGGCCCATCTTTCTTTCTAGAAGGGGAGAGCTGGAAGTATTTGGTGAACAACATTTATGACTTCATATGAGCAGTGAATGCGTGTTGGGTATTGCTTTCTGCTTGAGCCCTCAAGTCGGGAGAGTAGTAAAGTGAAAATAAAACGAACCAATATTGTTTTGTTTTTTCAAGAGAGGGTCTCACTTTGTCACCCAGCCTGGAGTGCAGTGGCGTGATCTTGGCTCACTGAAGCCTCCGCCTCCCAGGTTCCAGTAATTCTCCTGCCTCAGCCTCCCGGGTATCTGGGATTACAGGTGCCCTCCACCATGCCTAGCTAATTTTTGTATTTTTGGTAGAGACGGGTTTCACCATGTTACCCAGGGTGATCTCGAACTCCTGAGCTCAAGCAATACACCCACCTTGGCCTCCTAAAGTGCTGGGATTTCAGGCATGAGCCGCTGCGCCTGGCTGGAAGCAGTGGTAATAGAAGTCACAAGAGCATAATAGCAGTTCCACGTATTGAGTGCCTACTGTATGCCAGCACAGGGACAGGCCTTTAATCTGTGTCATTGAATCCTTACAAGAACCCCGTTAGATCAATCTTATTGTCCCCCTTTTAGTGCAGGATGAAGCTCAGAGAGTGTAAGGGACCTGCCTGGCATGGCCAGGTTTGTGGCAGAGCCAGGATTTGGATCCAGGACTCTATTTTTTTTTGAGATGGAGTTTTGTTCTTGTTGCCCAGGCTGGAGTGCAATGGCGCGATCTCATCTCACCACAACCTCCGCCTCCTAGGTTCAAGCGATTCTCCTGCCTCAGCCTCCCGAGTAGCTGGTATTACAGGCATAGGCCACCAAGTCCGGCTAATTTTGTATTTTTAGTAGAGACGGGGTTTCTCCATGTTAGTCAGGCTGGTCTTGAACACCCAACCTCAGGTGATCCACCTGTCTCGGCCTCCCAAAGTGCTGGGATTATAGGCGTGAGCCACCGTGCCCAGCTGTGACCCCTTTTTAATGCTCCCTAAAGGCTGACCAAGGTGTCCCAGAGATTAGGCAAGGAGCCAGACCAGGCTGTCCATCCACTGGACTGGTCCATCTGGACTCCTGTCAGTTATGATCAGGATTCAGCAAAGAATAGGTCAAGTACAGTGGCTCATGCCTGTAATCCCAGCACTTTGGGAGACTGAGGCAGGAGAATCCCCTGAGGCCAGGGGTTCAAGACCAGCTTGGGCAAAATAGTGAGACCCGCATCTCTGAATAGAAAAGAAATCAGACAAGAACTGTCTGGTTTTGCACCTTCATTCCCCCGATCCTTCCAGTTTTGTGCTATAAATTCCTTTGAGGAATTCCAGTATAGGCTGAGGTAGTCAAGAGGCACAGGGCCTCCTTAGCCCCATCAGACTGATGGCGACTCCTCATCTCGCACAGCCATTCATAGCAATAGCCTGTATTGACTGCACCGGCACTGTCTACTCACGCTATGCTAAGGGCTTTGTGAGCATTTTCTTATTAAAAGCTCCCCAAACCCTCTGCTATTATCCCTATTTTACGCAAGTGGGAACACATGCACAGAGAGGTATGTGTCCTGTCCAAGGTCCTATAGCTGGTAAGGAACCACAATTGGAACTCAGGCAGCCTCACCCCACGTCTTCACCTCTAACCTTAAGGTATAAAGGGCTCTTACATTCTTGAGTTCTTGAGCTCTTCTGCTCTCCCCTAGGCACCTTCCACCACACGCACGCACATGCACTCACATAAGAGATGACCAAAGCACTTATTATGACTCCAACTCTACAAACATGGTATCTGAGGCTCTGGGACAAGTTCAAGGTCACAGACTGGCCACCTGGTTCAAATCCAGTGTCCTGGCTGGGCGCTGTGGCTCACACCTGTAATCCCAGAACTTTGAGAGGCCGAGGCAGTGGATCACTTGAGGTCCGGAGTTTGAGACCAGCCTGGCCAACATGGCAAAACCCTGTCTCTACTAAAAATGCAAAAATTAGCCGGGTGTGGTGGTGGGCGCCTGTAGTCACTACCACCTGTGCCTTCTGGGCTGAAGCCATCTTCTCCTCTCAATCTCCTGATTAGCTGCGACTACAGGCAAACACGACCATGCCAGGCTAATTTTTGAATTTTTAGTAGAAACAGGGTTTCACCATGTTGGCCAGGCTAGTCTGGAACTCCTGACCTCAAGTGATCTGCTTGCCTCGGCCTCCTAAAGGGCTGGGATTACAGGTGTGAGCCACTGTGCCCAGCCAGATCATGTCTTTTTGACTCTGGCAAGGCACTGTCCCACTGTGGGCCTCAGCATTCTCATCTGGAAAATGGGTGTGCTAATGGCACCCCCCCCCCCGCGAGCTTGTTGGGAGGTAGAGAGGCTTATGAAAGCACCTGGCACTTAGTAGGTGGTTAACGACAGCTTCTTGCATTCCTGCTTTGCTGCAGGTGCCCCCTGAACCCAAGGAAGTAAGTTTATGAGCCACGGGTCCTCATGGATCTGCTGGGAGGTTGGGGAGAGAGCGTGGATGGTTGCCTTGTCCATCGCAGCTCCTGGGTGCAGTTCCAGGAGCAGCCTCCGGTGGTTACACAAGCAAGCGAGTGGAGACAGGTCTCTGGAGGTGCTCCCGTCGGTATAGAATGAACTAATCTCAGGGCCTCTGCCCTGGGCTGCCTGCTGTGCTGTAGGATGCCATGCTGGGCTGCAGGTGGGCATCAGGGCCCGGCGCACAGCAGACACTGCCCTCTGGGAAAAAGGAACGTGACTGGCGACATGCCACAGGAACAACAGCAGCGGCCCCTTCTAGGCCAGGCAGCTACTGGGCACCAAGCACCCCATCCTCTGTTCCTCGTGGCCTTTGTTCACGGTGACCCTTTCCCACCTATTTTGGGATGCAGAGGTTGAGGCCGCACTGCCTTTCTAGACGCCTCGCTGCTCCTCCCTGCTCTGCTCCACGTGAGCTCTGAGACACAGCTCATCTTAACACGGGCCCCTGAGCACCTGTCCTGACCTCTGGTTTTTTTTTTTTTTTGAGATGGAGCCTTGCTCTGTCACCCAGGCTGGAGTGCAGTGGTATGATCTTGGCTCACTGCAACCTCCACCTCCTGGGTTCAAACAATTCTCCTGTGTCAGCCTCCTGAGTAGCTGAGACCACAGTCGCACACCACCATGCCTGACTAGTTTTTGTATTTTTAGTAGGGACGGGGTTTCACTATGTTGGCCAGGCTGCTCTTTAACTCCTGACCTCAAGTGATCTGCCTGCCTCAGCCTCCAAAAGTGCTGGATTACAGGTGTGAGCCACTGTGCCCAGCTCTGTCCTGCCCTCTTTCCTGCCCCTTTGCCTCCCAGCGCCAAGCTCCATGGCTGCCCATCCACCCCGGCTCGCACCCCGTCCTTCTCCTCTCCATGACCTCCTCCCCCGAGTCATGGATGGTGCCAGCCCCAATGAGCAATGACTTCCACAGTTGTCCTTGGCTGGCTGACACTTGTCTGGAAAGTGAGGGTGGGGTCTCATCAGGGGCCCCACTGAGGAGCTTTATTGGCAATAGAGATCACTTAATTAATTTATTTTCATCATCATTATTATTTTTTTAGACAGAGTCTTGCTCTGTCACCCAGGCTGGAGTGCAGTGGTGTGATCTCAGCTCACTGCAACCTCTGACTCTCAGGTTCAAGCAATTCTCCTGCCTCAGCCACCCGAGTAGCTGGGATTACAGGTGCCTGCCACCATGCCCAGCTAATTTTTGTGTTTTTAGTAGAGACACGGTTTCGCCATGTTGGCCAGGCTGGTCTCGAACTCCTGACCTCAGGTGATCTGTCTGCCTCGGTTTCCCAAAGTGCTGGGATTACAGGTGTGAGCCACTGTGTCCAGCCAGAAATCACTTAACTTTAAAAAGTTCCTTCCTCCCCGGTTTCATCGGTGATCCTGAGGTCTAATGACTTCCAAACAGGAAGTCTTTGAGGAAGCTGCATTCAATGTTGAAAGCCCAGGAACTCACTGGCTTCAGAGGGGTGGGGCGAGGGGAAAGTGAAGCCTCTTCTGAGCCTTGTGGGGTCTCTGGAAGGGACAGATTTTCAGTGAATCAGCCTTTAAATTTCCCAGCACTTGGGGCAGCCTTGCCTTTGGTGCAGTCCAGGTGCCTGATGTCAGGGCGGAGCACTTCATGACTCTGGGGGCTCCGTCCCCAGGCTGCAAAGGCACCTCTCGAGTTGTACAATGTGGTAGGACTAAGGCTCTGTCACCTCCAACTGCCAGTGCTGGCCTGGCCTGCGTGGGCTTTGCCTATGAACGAGGAGGGGGAAGGGCCCTCTATGGCCTACCTGGCCCTACCTGTGCCTTGCACCTGACTGCCTGCCTTGGTTTCCCTGGGCTGGGCCCTATACTCTGCCCATCTCTAGCAGTAGGAGGGGCCCCAGAGGGATCCTCCTTCCCTGGCCAAGGCAGCTGGAGGGATTGCTCCACATTGCGGTGGTATCAGCCTCTGACACTGAGGAATGCGGCCGCCTGGATGCTGCTATCAGGACTCCAACTTGGGACAGTCGCTGACGGGCTGACATTTGACCAAACTAGGCCCAAATTAGAAGAAGAAGGAAGAAGCAGCTCCACATCCCAACTCTGCCTCTTTCTCGCTTTGTGATGATTGGACAAGACTCTTAAATCTCTTTGAACCTCAATGTTCTCATCTACAAAATGGGGATAATGGCCAGGCACGGTGGCTCACACCAGTAATCCTAGCTCTTTGGGAGGCAGAGGCAGGAGAATCACTTGAGCCCAGGATTTCAAGACCAGCCTGGGCAACATAGTGAGACCCCACCTCTAAAAAAATGGGGATAATAATAAACCTATTACAAATAGGTGGGGTGAATCTTGGCAGAAACAAGTAAAGGTGGCTCAGTGGTGGGGATGGAGCAGGCACCCAGAAAATGCCAGCTGTCAAATTCCTGGTTTTTTTTTTTTGAGATATAGTCTCACTCTGTTTCCCAGGCTGGAGTGCAGTGGTGCAATCTCGGTTCACTGCATCCTCCAGCTCCTGGATTCAAGTGATTCTCCTGCCTCAGCCTCACCAAGTAGCTGGGATGACAGGTGTGAGCCACCGTGCCTGTCCTTAGCTGCCAAATTCTCTTCCCCTCAGAGCCCTAACCGTTTATGTAAGGCTTCCCCACTTCTGTTCCACCTAGACCCTACCTACCCCTGCCCCTCAACTCAGGACAGTCCAGCATTGATGGGGCAGCTGAAATCCTGAGCGCCAAGGCAAGAGTTTAATCTCTCCTCTGCATTTTTGATGAATTGATTTGGTCCAGTGGAGGTTTTCAGTAGATCTGTTTAAATGACAGATAAGAAGTATTTGCGGTTATCCTGGCCATCAGGAGTGTACATGGGGCTTCCACAGTGTTCATTTTGCTTTCTTAAATTTATTCATTTCTTCAGTACATGCTCATCAGCCCCTTACTATGTGCTCAGCACTGGGTTAGGCAGTAGGGACACCGGTGAATCAGGTTGGCAGACTCGAATTTCCATGGACTTTATGACCCAATTGAGGGCACAGATAAAATCGAAGCCAACAGATATATCACCTCATTAGTGATTGTAATAAATGCTTTGGAAAAAACAAACAATTTGCTTATTAAAACTTAAATGATACAAAAGTAAGTTTCAGTCCCATGAAGTCTGAAGGTTTTTTTTTAGGATAATAGAATAAAAAACGATAATAAGCGTGCCCGTGGTCCCTGCATAATGAATGGCCTGCTAAGGCTACAGTCTAAGTGCTTTATACAAATAAGCTCGTTTATTCCTTACACTAGCCTTTATAGTTGAGTGTCTTTATCCCCATTTTACAGACGGGCATATGGAGGTCAAGGGGTCAAGTGGCTTGCCCAAAGTCACAGGGCTTGCTAATGAAGCTGGATTCCAACTTGGATTCGTTTGATCCCTCCCTGTTGTAATTACAGACCTATGGTATTTGTTGCTGCGTCTCCATCTCAGCTGGGAACTCTTAAGGCTGTGTGGCTAGAGGCTTGGGAGACAGCAACTCCGGAAGGGGCAAGTAGGTCACATCCCCTCACCTGGGGTGAGGCCTCCCATCTGAGCTAGAAGTTGCTGAAGTCAAGGCCCAACCCAGCAATTTGTCCCATAGTGAAAGGGAGCAAATGGCCTCTGTCTCCAAGAGGTTGACCCTGAAAATGGGCCTCTGGTCTCAACCTTGTTTGCAAAAGTGGGATGAGGATGAGGGGTGGGGATAAGGGTTCCCGTTCTGCACTCAGCAGCACGAGAGGCCCACCTTGTCACATGGCGTCGACTTCTTATGCTGTCAAGGCTGCGGGCGGGTGGCTTAGGAGGTTGGGAGCCAGTTAGAGAACCTTGAGTCCAGAATCTGGACTCCCTGTTTCTGGTACCACCTGCCATTGGCTGCCTCAATCCATTTCTCCCCGTGGTTAAGAACCTGGGCCCTGGAAATGAAAGAACATAGATTTAAATACCAGTACTCCCACTTAATAGCTATATGGCTTGTTAGATTATTTAACCTCTGTTAGCCTCAGTTTCCTCACCTTTCATTTTTCATTTTTAAATTAAAAATTTTTTTTTTTTTTTTTGAGACGGAGTCTCGCTGTCACCCAGGCTGGAGTGCAGTGCTGTGATCTTGGCTCATTGCAACCTCTGCCTCCCGGGTTCAAGTGATTATCCTGTATCAGCCTCCTCAGTAGCTAGGATTACAGGTGCCTGCCACCACGCCTGGCTAATTTTTAAATATTTTTAGTGGAGACAGGGTTTCACCATGTTGGCTAGTATGGTCTCGATCTCCTGACTTCAAGTGATACACCTGCTTCGGCCTCCCAAAGTGCTGGTATTACAGGCCTGAGCCACTGCGCCCTGACTACATTTAATTTTTTTGAGACAGGGTCTTGCTCTCTTGCTCATGCTGGAGTCCAGTGGCATGATCTCAGCTTACTGCAGCCTGGACCTCCTGGGTTCTAGTGATCCCCCTGCCTCAGCCTCCCGAGTAACTGGGACTACAGGCACACAATATGATGCCTGGCGCGGTGACTCACACCTGTCATCCCAGCACTTTGGGAGGCCAAGGCAGCGGGTCACTTGAGGCCAGGAATTGGAGTCCAGCCTGGCCAACATGGCGAAATCCCATCTCTACTAAAAATATAAAAATGAGCTGGGTGTGGTGGCGGGCGCTTGTAATCCCAGCTGCTTGGGAGGCTGAGGCAGGAGAATTGTCTGAATCCGGGAGGCGGAGGTTGCGGTGAGCTGAGATCGTGCCGCTGTACTCCAGCCTGAGTGACAGAGCAAGACTCTGTCTCCAAATAAAAAATCAATAAATTAAAAAAAAAAAAAAAAAAGCTCCGCAGCTCAGGCTGTCTGGGAGTAAACCAGACGGTTTATGTAAATGACTTTGCCTGGTTTCTGGATGATCATACTGCCTTGGTCGAGTCAAATCCTATTCTTCCAGGAACGTGGGGTATTGGCAGCAGTTCCCCAAATGCCATGGAAAAACAGGGTGTGGCCCATAGCCACTTTTTCTGTGATTTTGTTCTAACCGCAGGAGTGCTTGTTCATGTAAGAGACTGTTGTCTCTTACAATAGTCTCTTACATGAACAAGGTTATTCAATTGCAATAAAGGGTTATTGCAGTTACAGTTAGAAGGCTCCGCCTCCTCCAGCGGCACACCTGAACCCTGACGCTCCTGGGAACTTTGCTCTTGGAAATGTCTTCAGAGCCTGGGCACAGCTTTGAATGTGCTCCGTGGAGAGTGCGTGCGTTCATTCTCCAAGGGTCGGCCTGGTGTTTGGAATTAGCAAGAAATCCTTTGGATCCAAGACTGATGACTTTGGGTGAAGATTTGAGCTGGGAAATACTGACAAGGACAAATGGAAATGAAATGCAGGTTGGGGAAGGTAGAGAAAGGTTTTCAATCATGGAGGGCCGGAGAGCTGCTTTAAGCAGTTTCACAGTCAAACATGTTTGGAGGATGATTCTCACATGGGTCAGAAAGAGAAATCTGGGGTTTCAAATTGGCAGTATCAGTTTTGGAGGGCTGACCTTGGGCAGAGGGTGATGCCCTTCCAGAAACAACTGTCCCCAGATGTCACGTGGAAATTATTTTTTTTTTTTGCTATCTTTTTTTTTTTTTTTTTGAGACGGAGTTGTCCATCTCAAAAGTTTTGTATTGTTTGTTGTCCAGGTTGGAGTGCAATGACACAATCTCAGCTCAGCCCAATCTCGGCTCACCGCAACCTCCGCCTCCCGGGTTCAAGCAATTCTCCTGCCTCAGCCTCCTGAGTAGCTGGGATTACAGGCATGCATCACCATGCCTGGCTAATTTTGTACTTTTAGTAGATATGGGGTTTCTCTATGTTGGTCAAGTTGGTCTCGAACTGCCGACCTCAGGTGATCCGTCCGCCTCAGCCTCCCAAAGTGCTGGGATTAGAGGCATGAGCCACCACGTCCAGCTTCTTCTTCTTCTTCTTCTTTTTTTTAAAGACAGAGTCTCCCTCTGTCGCCCAGGCTGGAGTACAGTGGCATGATCTCAGCTTACTGCAACCCCTGCCTCCCAGGTTTAAATGATTCTCCTGCCTTAGCCCCCTTAGTAGCTGGGATTACAGGTGCCTGCCACCACACCTAGCTAATTATTTATATTTTTCTTAGTAGAGATGGGGTTTTGCCATGCTGGTCAGGCTGGTCTTGAACTCCTGACCTCAGGTCATCCGCCTGCCTCAGCCTCCCAAAGTGCTGGGATTATAGGCGTGAGCCACCACGACCAGCCCAAAATTCTTTCATTTGCAAGGACAGAGCCCTGCTTGAATGTGCTTAAGCAAAAGAGGGAATGTAGGCTGGGCACAGCGGCTCGTGCTTGTAATCCCAGCACTTTGGGAAGCAGAGGCAGGTGGATCGCTTGAGGCCAGGAGTTCAAGACCAGCCTGGCCAACATGGCGAAACCCTGTGTCTACTAAAAATACAAAAATTAGCTGGGTGTGGTGGTGCACGCCTGTAGTTCCAGCTACTTGGGAGGCTGAGGAACAAGAATTGCTTGAATCTGGGAGGTGGAAGGTGATGTGAGCCAAGATTGCAGCACTGCATACCAGCCTGGGAGACAGAGTGAGACTCTGTCTCAAAAAAAAAAAAAAAAAAAAAAAAAAGAGGGTATATCTTCTGAGGATTCAGGGATGTTTTAGAAACTAGGGAGCTGCCCTGGCCTCATAAGAGGCAGACTCAGGAGCTGGACATGGGTTAGGAAACCAGGCAGTGCTTCTTTCATTTTCTCTCTCTCAATTGTAGTAAAATATACATAACATACATTAAAAAAAATTTTGTTTTGAGACAGAGTCTCGCTCTGTCACCCAGGCTGTAGTGCAGTGGCACTATCTCAGCTCACTGCAATCTCCACCTCTCGAGTTCAAGCGATTCTCCTGCCTCAGCCTCCTGAGTAGCTGGGATTACAGGTGCCTGCCACCACGCCCAGCTAAGTTTTGTATTGTTAGTAGAGACGGGGTTTTGCCATGTTGGTCAGGCAGGTCTTGAACTCCTGATCTCAAGTGATCTGCTGGTCTCAACCTCCCAAAGTCCTGGGATGACAGGCGTGAGCCACTGCACCCGACCGGCCAGTTCCAAATTTCTGAGGCAGAGAATGTGCCTGTTGAGTAGGCAAGCCGTGGGATGGATCACATGACATCATCACTCTGCCTGCTGGGATCCATCCTTGGATCCATCCTTGGAGCATGCTTCTCAGGAAGGAAATGGGAGGGTTGTTTGGGATTGGACAACCTCCTCCTCAATAAGAAACGAATCAGGACACCCCTCTATGGAATCACTTCCACTCTGATGAAATCATCTGGGAATTTTCAATCAGAAGATTTAGAAAGATGCTATTTTCATTTTGCCTTACATACATCTTTTGTGTCTTCTGGCTTATTGCTTTTGAGGTGTGTGTATGTAGGGGCGGGGCCTCTAAAAGTCATCCTGGGTCCTGGTTAGGCTACCACCTTGACCTGGCCTGGGGACCTGCTCAGCTTGGAGGCCAGTTGGCTGGAGGTGGGGGAGGAGGGAGCCCCAGTTGCGGCCTCTGAGCCTCTCGTGCCAGCGGCCCCGTGCAGTCCATTTTAACCCCGGCACCAGTTGTCCTTCAGCTCCTCCAGGGAGTGACTTACTCCCTTTCCAGCTTCTGTTTTCGGAGCATGAACCACTGACTGTTTGAAATGGGACACGCTCTTGATAGCACCAAGCCTCAGCTTTCCTATGGATAAAACGGCTAAAGATGCCCAGACTGCTTTCTTCAGAAAGCTGGTGCGGGAATCACATGAAATTGACGGCTGTGAACAAGGGTCCTCAATGTCGGGAAATTGGTCCTGGGTGGTTGGTGGGGGGCATTAGGTAATGTCTGCAGACATTTTTGGCTGACAGAAGTGTGGGAGAGTGTGCTCCTGCCATCTTGTAGGGGAGGCCAGGGTACATAGTGGGCACTTAGATACTATTTCTTTTTCTTTCTTTTTTTTTTTTTTTTGAGACGGAGTCTCATTCTGCTGCGCGGGCTGGAGTGCAGTGGTGCGATCCTGGCTCACTGCAACCTCTGCCTTCTGGGTTCAAGGGATTCTCCTGCCTCAGCTTCTAGAGTAGCTGGGATTACAGGCATAGTCACCATGCCTGGCTAATTTTTGTATTTTTTTTTTCTTTTTAGTAGAGATGGGGTTTCACCATGTTGGCCACACTGGTCTCGAACTCCTGACCTCAGGTGATCTTCCCGCCTCAGCCTCCCAAAGTGCTGTGATTACAGGCTCAAGCCACTGTGCCCTGCCAGATATTTCTTTTTCTCTTCTTTCTTTCTCTCTCTCTCTCTCTCTCTTTTTTTTTTTTTTGAGACGGAGTCTCGCTCTGTCACCAAGGTTGGAGTGCAGTGGCCGGATCTCGGCTCACTGCAAGCTCTGCCTCCTGGGTTCCCGCCATTCTCCTGCCTCAGCCTCCCGAGTAGCTGGGACTACAGGCGCCAGCCACCTCGCCCGGCTAGTTTTTTGTATTTTTTAGTAGAGACGGGGTTTCACCGTGTTAGCCAGTATGGTCTTGATCTCCTGACCTCATGATCCGCCCGTCTCGGCCTCCCAAAGTGCTGGGATTACAGGCTTGAGCCACCGCGCCCGGCCTTTTTTTTTTTTTTTTTTTTTGAGACGGTCTTGCTCTGTCACCCGGGCTAGGGTAGAGTGATACAATCACGGCTCACTGCAACCTGTGCCTCCTGGGCTCAAGAGATCCTCCCACCTCAGCCTCCCAAGTAATTGGGAGTACAGGTGTGTGCCACCATGCCCAGCTAATTTTTGTACTTTTAGTAGAGACAGGGTTTTGCATGTTGCCCAGGCTAGTCTTGACCTTTTGGACTCAAGAGATCTGCCCGCCTGAGTCAAATGCTGGGATTACAGGTGTAAGCCACTGCACCTGCCCAGATACTGCTTCTAAATCAAAGTTTAGCCTCAGTTAATGGTGAGCCCGGCATGGTACCGCTTTGGGGTCCTGTACAGATGGCAGAGAAGACTAAAGGCTTGGTGAGGGGTTCCTTGGGGTACTGTCTCAGTGACTAAGTGACTGTAGGTGGGCACAGCTGCTGCTGACAAGGGCTGCTTCCAGTGTGCTGGGGCAGCTGGTCGCCTGGCAGCCTTGTTGAGTGGAGTGTGGCTTAGGAAACTCGTCATGCTACCAGTGGGGAAAAGCAAGCCTCCCCTCACCTTTTGGAGTGACCAACAGTTTGGGGAAAAAAATGTGGAGGTGGATTTACTGATTTGTTTTTCTCTGAATTTGTGCTTCCTTCTCAACTAATATTCAGCCCCTCCTTTGCCCTCCTCAGGCCTTTCCAGGGCAGGCTGGGGGTATGGGTGGAGTGAAGAGGGGCAAAGGTAGAGAAGTCCCCTTCCCTCTACAGGGCAAGAGAGGAGATTCCAGAGACCTTTCCACGCTTCAGAAAATGGAGGCTGGTCCAGGGTTTCAAGTGAACACACAAAGGTCAGCTCTGGCTGCTCCACACTCCCCTCCCTGTCCCCTGACCTCTGCTGCGGTGGCTGCTGCTGTGGGAGTGAAAAGCCCAGGTCAGCCTTCCGGGTGGGTGGGGATCTGGGAACAAGAATGCAGCCTCCTAACTGCTGCAACCTTCTCCTTGCCAGGGTTAAGGGAAGTGCAGGAATCAAGGCTAGGGGGTGGGAGGGGGCAGCATCACCCCCTGCAAAACCCCAGAACAAGGGAACCTGGAATCGCCCCTCCCATCTCTGGCCAGGTCCCCACCAAGGAAGGTCTCCACGCTATTGCGTCTGCAGGTGGAGCAGCCCGTTTCCACCTTCCCTCCTCTCACACTCCAAGCCTTCAAATAAGGACCACAAAGCTCCCACAGTGGCAAGAGGCTTTCTGCCTGGTGGACGCTGTTCTAGGTGCTGTATAGGCAAAACTGCATTTAATTCTCCTGCATGGTTGTGTTCCTATTTCATAATCAGAGCCAGGATTCAAATCTGGGCAGTCTCTGGTGCAAAGGTCGGCAGCCTCCCAGGAGGGAACCCAGTCAACCAGGCACCTGTTTACTCTCTCATGCTCCAGGACTTTTCAATCCAACAGGGACTTCCTCATTTGGGTAACCAGGAGAGCCAGAGACTGGATTTGGTCAGCCCTTCATTCAAAACATTTGTGTACTACAGACTCTCAGTGTGACCTTGGGCAAGTTACTTTAGCTCTGAGAATCCTCAGTTTCCCTCTTTATAAAAAGGGGAAATCTTGTTGTGAAGCTTATATGAAATTCGGTATGGAGAGGTGTGTTTTATTATCATTAGTTATTTATTTTTGAGACCGAGTCTCGCTCTGTCGCTGAGGCTGGAGTGCGCAGTGGCACGACCTCAGCTCACTGCAACTGCCAGGTTCAGTGATTCTCGTGCCTCAGCCTCCCGAGTAGCTAGGACTACAGGTATGTGCCACCATGCCTGGCAAAGTTTTGTAGAGACAGAGTTTCGCCATATTGCCCAGGTTGGTCTCAAACTCCTGACCTCAAGTGATCTGCCCACCTTGGCCTCCCAAAGTGCTGAGATTACAGGTGTGAGCCACCACCGAAGGTTTTTAGACTATAACACATGTAAGAGCCAATAGCCAGGATTATCATTATTATTCTTTTCTCTGTTTCTCTCTTCCTTCCTTCCTTCCTTCCTTCCTTCCTTCCTTCCTTCCTTCCTTCCTTCCTTCCTTCCTTCCTTCCTTCCTTCCTTCCTTCCTTCTCTTGTTTTTTTGAGACACAGTCTCCCTCTGTCGCTCAGGCTGGAATGCAGCAGCACGATCTTGGCTCACTGCAACCTCCACCTCCAGGGTTCAAGCAATTCTCCTGCCTCAGCCTCCTGAGTAGCTGGGATTACAGGTGCCCACCTCCACGCTCAGCTAATTTTTTGTATTTTTAGTAGAGACAGAGTTTCACCATGTTGGCCAGGCTGTTCTCGAACTCCTGACCTCAGGTGATCCATCTGCCTCGGCCTCCCAAAAGTGTTAGAATTACAGGCATGAGCCACAGCACCCAGCCTTCATTATTATTATTTTCATCATCTAAGCCAGGAGTCAGTAAACTTCTCTGTAAAGGACCAGATTGTAAATATTTTTGGCTTTTATGGGTCCTTCAGTCTCGGTCACTGCTCAATTGTGCTGCTGTGTCTCCAGAGTACCTATGGACAATATGGTAAATTAGCAAATGGGTGTGGCTGTATTTCCATAAAACTTTTCTTACCAAAGCAGGTGATGGGCTGGATTTGGTCCATGGGTCACAGTTTGCTGGACCCCAGTCTAGGACCCTGAGGCTTCTATTGCTGGTGTCTGAGCAGAAAGTGGGGCTGGGCTTTGGTGTGAAATTCACGCATCCATGTGCAGACTGCTGATCTGTGAGTGTGTTGAGGGAAGGGGTTGATTACCTTTGAAACCCCATTCTGGGTTCTCAGGTGCACATGAGAAGGGTAGAGCAAGTGTGTGTGTTTAAATGACTTGTTCCTGATGTCTAGACACTTGTGCTCTTAATGATCCCGGAAGATGTTGGCCAAGATCTAGGGGTGATCAAAACTGACAAGACAAACTCAGAGTGAGGCTGGGTGCAGTGCCTCAAGCCTATAATCCCAGCACTTTGGGAGGCTGAGGTGGGTAGATCACCTGAGGTCAGGAGTTCGAGACCAGCCTAGTCAACGTGGTGAAACCCCATCTCTACTAAAAATACAAAAATTAGCTGGGCATGGTGGTGCACACCTGTGGTACGAGCTACTTGGGAGGCTGAGGCAGGAGAATCACTTGAACCTGGGAGGAAGAGGTTGCGGTGAGCTGAGATTGCACCACTGAATTCCAGCCTGGGCAACAGAGCAAGACTCTGTCTCAAAAAAGAAAAAAAAAAAAAAAAAAAAGAAGAACTCAGAGTGCTGGTCCCGCTGCCCTTAAGTGGCATCAGTGCCAGGTGCAGTGGTTCACGCTGGTAATCCCAGCACTTTGGGAGGCCAAGGCGGGTGGCAGATTACCTGAGGTTGGGAGTTTCGAGACCAGCCTGACCAACATGGAGAAACCCCATCTCTACTAAAAATACAAAATTAGTCAGGTGTGGTGGCGCATGCCCATAATCCCAGCTACTTGGGAGGCTGAGGCAGGAGAATTGCTTGAATCCGGGAGGTGGAGGTTGCAGTGAGCCAAGATCGCACCATTGTACTCCAGCCTGGGCAACAAGAGTGAAACTCCATCTCAAAAAAAGAAAAAAAAAAAAAGACATCAGCATAATCAGAGCCACCAGTAGTGCCAATTCTCTCGGAGCCAGGAGCCCTTTCCCTACACAGTCTCATTTAATTCTCACAAAAACCCCATCAGGTAGGGCCTATTATAATCACCCCAGGTTAAGAAGGAGGAAACTGGATGGGCACAGTGGCTCACGGCTGTAATCCCAGCACTTTGGGAGGCCTAGGTAGGAGGATCACTTGAGCCCAGGAGTTCAAGGCCAGCCTGGGCAGTATGGTGAAACCCTGTCTTTACAAAAATTTTTTTTGTAAAAATACAAAAATTAACCAGGCATGGTGGCGTGTACCTGTGGTCCCAGCTACTTGGGAGGCTGAGGTGGGAGGATCACCTGACCCCAGGAGGTTGAGGCTGTAGTGAGCCATGATCTGATTGTCCTGCCACTGGGTGACTGAGAGAGCCCTTGCCTCAAAAAAAGAAAATGAAAACAAAGGAGGAAACTCCAACATGGCCAACCTGGTGAAACCCCGTCTCTGCTAAAAATACAAAAATTAGCTGAGCATGATGGCGGGCGCCTGTAATCCCAGCTACTGGGGACAAGTGAGGTAGGAGAATCACTTGAACCTGGGAGGCAGAGGTTGCAGCGATGCAGTGAGCCAAGATCGCACGATTGCACTCCAGCCTGGGCGACAACCAGAGACTCCATCTCAAAAAAAAAAAAAGGGGGGAAACTGAGGCTCAGAGAGACAAGGCCGGTTGCATGATGTCACACGGCTGGAGAGGGCAGGGATTGGCGCTTGAATCTTTCCGACGTCAAACATATTCCTTTCCACCTTCTCTGGCTAAAAGGGGTGCAGCCCATGGGTGACCCTCCAACCCTGCCCTGTACCCGGGCCCTGTGTGCCTTCCCGGGCCAGCGGGCAGTCGTCGGAGCTCAGCCCTACTGCTTGGCACCCCCCTCTGGAGGCCCCATCTTGGTTCTCGCCCCTCCCTTCCTCACCCGAGCCAGCTTCCTGGCCCTCCCAGGCTGGCTGATGGATGGCCCAGCCCTGGCTGGCTTGGCTCAGTCTAGCTTTTCCTCGTGGACTGCCAGGGCCGCCTCCTGTCCTTCTGCTCACCACCCTCGCCTGCCCGGCAGGTCGGGCAAGTGAGTGACTCACACACCTGGGCCCTGTGTGGGCCCAGCCCTGGGAGCCAGTGTACTCACCCTCTGGGCTCCTGCCTGTCCTTCCAGCTACTTCAACTGACAGACGGGACCCTTCCCAATAGAAGGGGGCTGCCCCTGTCACTTGTGCTCCCTTCCCGGAGGACTGCGATTGGACTGCACAGGATTGAGGTCAGTTTCCTTTCTGTTTTTAACCATCTCTGCCCCTCGCTGAGTTGGAGGAAAATCTTTTGGAGGTCGTGGGGGAGGGGTCCCCGCTGTCGTTGACACCCTTGTGCATCAGGCCCAGGGACACCCTGCTCCCTCTCAGCAGGTGCTGGAGCTTGGGGCCACCTTGGGATAGACTCGGTGAGGAGAACCATGCTGGGTGCCTCTATGGGTGTGACCCCAACCCTGCAGCCACCTAGCGGGGCAGGTCACGGCAACCTGGAGTGAGAACGGCAGAGGTGGACTGCAAGGGCATGTGTAGGGGGGTGCTTTCCTCACTTCCTTCTTAGGGTCACAGAGTGAGGGACGCAGCTTGAGATGGCTTCAGTTCAATGGCATCATTTTACAGCTGGGAAAACTGAGGCTTGGGGGAGAGGGAGTAACGAAGGTGGATTGATGCATTGATGGCGGAACTGGGGCTAGAAGCTGGACTGGCTGACTCCCTGCCCAGGGCTCCTTCCTTGGTCCTCCTGGCTCCTGGCTGTTTCCCCCTGCTTTCCCCCCGCCACCCACCCCCGTTAGCTCTCTCCCATGTCATCCGGGCCTCAGCAGGGAGGAGGAATGCAGCTGGTGGGAGCCATTTCACAGGGGGATTTTATGGGCTCACAGTTGGAAGGCATTTTGAAGGTCATCTAGGCCATGAACCTCCGACAGGTGGCTGTTTAGCCACACCTTGACTATCCCTGGGAATGGAGAGCTCACTTTTTTTTTTTCCCTGAAATGGAGTTTCCCTCTTGTTGCCCAGGCTGGAGTGCAATGGCACGATCTTGGTTTACCACAACCTCCACCTCCCAGGTTGAAGCGATTCTCCTGCCTCAGCCTCTCGAGTAGCTGGGATTACAGGCATGCGCCACCACGCCCAGCTAATTTTGTATTTTTAGTAGAGACAGGGTTTCTCCATGTTGGTCAGGCTGGTCTCGAACTGCCAACCTCAGGTGATCCACCTGCCTTGGCCTCCCAAAGTGCTGGGATTACAGGCGTAGCGCTCACTGTTTTTGGAGGCAGTCTCTTTTATTTGCATGGCCAGTGTCTGGCAAATTACTGGGCACTTACTTCGTGGCGAGCACTTTGCTAACAAAGTACAGTAGGTGTGCAAATGCCTTTCATCCCCGACACCCCAATGAGGTAAGTGTTATTGGTATCACTCTTATTTTATAGCAGAGGAAACAGGCACAGAGAGGTTAAGTAACTTCCTCAAGATTTCAGAGCTTGAGGAGGAGGAGCCGAGTTTTGAACCCAGGGAGTGTGGTTCCAGGGCTCAGCCAAGGTCTTAGCTGCTGTACTTGGCTGCTACCATAGGAGAACGGGACTTCCTAGGGAGGGGGTCCTGCCTGGCATGGTGAAGCTGAGGTTGGAAGGGGGACATTTAGGTGACTGCGTGACGCTCTGGTTGGTTGGCCTCCTGGGGCTGAAATGCCACCATCCAAGCTCTTCTCCTGTCACCTGCTTTGCCTCCTTGGCAGATTACCCTATCCTCACGTAGCCCCCAGCTACCAGAATCCAGGACCAATGACTGATGACTCCCAGGACAGTTGCGTGCAATAACAGAGGGAGGGTTGAAAGCTGTGGCTCGGGATCTCCGACACCACTGTCAGGGTTTCCTTGGAGTGTCCTGGGCAAAGGAGGCAGGAGGTGAGAGTGGGCGTGGCAGAGGTGTGGGAGGGGCCTGGGCCCTGCGTCTGTTTCCTTCTTAACATTTTGACCTCCTGGAGTGGCACCTCATGTGCTGCCTGTCCACCCCACCTTGCCCATCTATTTAGGGGAGCTTGGTGGTTAATGAGGGCAGCACCTCATCCTACGGTGCTGGACAGTTTACAAAGCCAGCCGACGCCGTCCTGAAGGGTGCTCACAACAGCCTGGGGAGCTGGGAAGGGCAGGAATTGTGATAATGCTCATAGTTGAGGGATGGAGGCTCAGAGAGGTCAGGTGAGCTGCCTGGGGCCGCACAGCTAAGTGATGGAACAGAGTCAGATCCTGCCTCTCCAACCTCCCGACCCCCGGCTTCTAACAGAGCATGCTCCACACCAAGGCTGGCTCCTCCTCTATGTGGTTTTTCCTCCAGAGAAATCCTCGTCAGGGGCAGAAGTGTCAGGGCTGCTGAGGCAGGGCTGTCTCCCCAGCTTTTGGCCCCTAAATCAGAGTCTCCTGAGGTGGCAGAAGAGAGGGCTACCCCTCTCTTCTGTCCCCGCAAAGGCTTGCTCTGAATGTGATGCCAGGAGTCCTTCTGGCTGGATCTCTTCAGTTAATGAGACTTTGGGACTTTCAGGGGGATGACTGGCCTGGCTCCATTCACATCCCCGATATCTTCTTCCTAGACTTCCTCTCCAGGGCAGTCATGGGAACAAGAGATTCTTAAATTGATCCCATCCCGTCTTCTCCTTCTCCTAATGATAATACTCATCACAGCAATATTAACTACTAATGCTAGTCATGTTCCTAGAGGCACACGTCTGTGGTCTCAGCTACTCGGGGGGCTGAGATGGAAGGATCGCCTGAGCCCAGAAGTTTGAGGCTGCAGTGAACTGTGATTGCCATTGCTACATTTTCTTTTTCTTTTCTTTTTTTATTTTGGAGATGGGGTCTAGCTCTGTTGCCCAGACTGGAGTGCAGTGGTGTGATCCCGGCTCACTGCAACATCCGCCTCCTGAGTTCAAGTGATTCTCCTGCCTCAGCCTCCCAAGTAGCTGGGACTACAGGCGCCCACCACCACGCCTGGCTAATTTTTGTATTCTCAGTAGAGATGGGGTTTCACCATGTTGGCCAGGCTGGTCTCGAATTCCTGGCCTCAAGTAATCAGCCCGCCTTGGCCTCCTAAAGTGCTGGGGTTACAGGAGTGAGCCACTGCACCCAGCCCACCATTGCTACATTTTCATTTATTGGGCACCCACCGTATACCAAGCTCTGTGCCAGGCATCCTTTAGGCCATAGCTCATTGAGCCCTCCTGGCAACCCCATTTCACAGATGAGGAAGCTGAGGTCCAGAAAGATGAAGTCACTTGCCCTGGGTCACATAGCTGGTCAATGACACTGAAATCACCAGTCAGAAAGTTGAAAGCACACTTCACCCTAAGTCACCACCCAAGGTCACACACTGTTCATGGCACAGCCAAGACTAGAGCCTGGCTTGGCTGAATCCTGATTTCCTGCTCTTCCCACTCAGTGCCTCTGGGTTGGGCTACAGTGGGACTTTTGAGCCATGGATTCTAGAGTTGTTTCTGCCTTTATAGGACATTAAACAAGCCACTGAATCTCTTGTGGCCTGGGTCACACCATCTGAGTGCAGGGGCTGGTGATTTATTCCCTGCGAATGATAGTCATGTCTGGGAATGCTTTTCAACACTGGCACATGCACACAGAGAATTAGTATGAAGAGAGGTAATTACCCAAGCCATGTCTCCAGTCTCTTCTGTGACTGAAAGCTTTGATATTTAATCCTTAGAATGAACTTGGACCTCCGGATATGGTGGCTCATGCCTGTAGTCCCAGCACTTTGGGAGGCTGAGGCAGATGGATCACATGAGGTCAGGAGTTCAAGACCAGCCTGGTGAACATGGCAAAACCTCATCTCTACTAAAATACAAAAATTAGCTGGGCAGAGTGTTGTGCACCTGTAATCCCAGCTACTCAAGAAGCTGAGGCAGGAGAATCGCTTGAACCTGGGAGGTGGAGGTTGCAGTGAGCTGAGATTGTGTCACTGCACTCCAGCTTGGGTGACAGAGGGAGACTCCGTCTCAAGAAAAAAAAAAAAACAAAAAAGAATGACCTTGGACCAGACTGGGCAACATAGTAAAACCCCAACTCTACAAAAAACAAACAAACAAACAAAAATTAGCCTGGTGTGGTGGCTCACCTGTTGTCCCAGCTTCTCAGGAGGTGGAGGTAGGAGGATCACTTGAGCCCAGGAGGTTGAGGCTGCAGTGAGCCAAGATGGTATTACTGCACTCCATCCTGGGCAGCAGAGTGAGACCCTGTCTCAAGGAAAATTATATATATATATATATGTGTGTGTGTGTGTGTGTGTGTGTGTGTGTGTATAAAATGACTTTGGGATGCAGGAACACAAGCCATGTTCTACTGTAGGGAAGCTGAGACTCAGGGACATGAACTCACTTACTCAAGGTCATAGGACCAGGAGATGGGGAACCAAGGATTTGAACTTGGTCTGGTCTTCATGTTCCCAGAAGTAAGCACCTCCCGTCATGTAGAGAGGCAGCTCCCCGGGGAATGAGAGTCTCCCAGGGTACTCAGACAAGAAGCAGTGAACAAGTTTGGAGCATGGACTCCTTGGATTCCAGGAGACCAGGCTTATAGGAACAAAGTTTAGGAGCTTAGCAGGTAGGTCTGAGGCAGGTGGCCTGGTGCTGCCACCAAGTAAGTCCTCTTCTCCCCTGCTCAGGCCTGCTCCCATTTTTTCCTTCAGCAGAATGACAGAGACCCCCTTCCCCCATCCTTCCTTGTCTCAGAAACAGAGGCAGCCTTTGTTTCAAGGGGAACCAAGAAAACAAGGACCTCTCCCGACCACACTGTGACCTGCTCTGCAGGTAACCCTGGTCCTTCCTCCTGGCCCAGCCAAACCCAGCTCAGCTACTGTAAAGACATCCGATATCCCAGCAGGGGGAGGGAGGAGAGGGAGGGAGCCAGTGGGGTTAGGTAGTGCCCCTGCCCACCTTCTCCCTCCCCATCTTAGTCTACCCTGTCTCTCCCCGTGAGCAATGTTATAATTAAATCTGATAAATCCGTTCTATCTGGTAAAAAGGGTCCCAATGTCATGGTTGGTTTGAGCCAATTGGGGTGGCGGATGGGACCCTAGGCTGGGAGCCAGGAGACTGCCTCTGCTCCCCACTCCATTCTTCACGCCCTGCATGACCTTGAGCAAATGCTTGCCCTCTTGGGGCCTCAGTTTCTCTCTCTAGGAAA